ATACAGGTAGCCCTCGGTTTACACCGCAGTTCCGTTCCTACAAAAGCCAGTGCAAATTGAATCAGCGTAAAACGAACCCATATTTACAGTGAGGTATAGGGTTAGGTTCTACATAAGTGAAAAATAAGCAAATAATTTTGTTTATTAATACAATATAATACAAAATACATATAAATTTTTAATTTTTAAAATGTATTTTATCATAAAATAAAGTGAAATGTTTTTATTAAAAAATTTTAGTTTCGGATCTCTTACATTTTTCGGAAAAAGTATCCAAGTTTTAATTGTTTACATTTTTGTTTTCTTTCATTGAGAATTTCGGAATATGGTCGAATGGATGCGATGATGGTTCTTTTTACATTTGCACTTCGCTCCCAATCATTGTCTAACTCACAAAGTTCATCCGTCAAACTTTCCATAGTTGAAAGGATACATTATCCCGACGTAGAACTATGGACAAGCAGAGACGTTGATTGGTCGACCACCAGCCACCGTAGCGTATGTATAAGGTCAGTTTGAGAGGGAAAATTGAAGGTGGCTAAGGAGAGATAGATATTGTCTGGCTAATAAAAAAGTATCGTCTGGCCAACAAGAAGTAGATTTGTCTCACTAACGATAGTTTGTGATCGCTGGAAGTGCTATTGCATCATAAGGTGTTTTCCTGAACGAACTGATACGGAATACATTCATTGGCGCTATGGATTCGGACGCCATTTATTGCACTATTAAGTTTGATAACTTGACTCGTGGGTACCTAAACATTTAGTGTTTTAATATTAATTTAATGTAAATGTATACATACCCAATAATATTAAACAGAAAAACTAAATATATTCAATAAAAATCTTTGTTTTAACGAATGTACAATGTCGCGGCTCGGTAAATACATCAACACTGAAATGAAAATCTGTCTGGCATAGGGAAAATCAAGGAATTACACCACGAAACGGCAAATTGTGTAGCAGCGTAAATTGAGCCGGCGTAAACCAAGGGTTACCTGTACTTTAATCTTTTTTAGCATTTTAAAATGATTATTTTAATAATAATTTCATGTTAGTTTGAATTTAAATACAGTCAAATCTCAGTTTTCAAATTGCTCACTTTTCAAACAAATTGGTTCACAAATAGAATTTCAAACTCATAATTACACTGGCTGCCATATGATAACTTGGTTGCTGAACATTCTACTTGGCATATCCAGCCACAGATTAGCAAGAGACAGATAGTCAGCTCCCTATATTTTCTACATTAAAGAAAGTCGATGGCTTGACCAATTAACAACAGGACTACCGATTTAGGAGTTAGTGGCACTGAGACCATCTTGCATCATTAAACATCACAACACGAATCATCAATGCACATGCGAGACAGATACTACTACTATTTTTTGGTACATTTTGCAGTTGAATTTAAATCAATTAATTAATAAAAATGCATTAATTGACATTTCCATAATATAAATGACATCCAAGAATTTGTGTTTAAAGATGCTTAACTCAAATTAAATGGCAAAAATTTATTAATATAATAATATATAATATTAATATTTAATGTTTATTAATATGATATTATATTTACATTTGTAGGCATTGTTATGCATGAAATACAGCTAAGGTAAAAACAAAAAAAAAGGCTTTATTTGGGGGTCAGGAATTGACTAATTTGTTTTTTAGTTTTAGAAAAACTTTTAGGGACAAATTATGTTTGAAAACCAAGGTTTGACTGTAAATACATTTTTTACTTTTTTAACTAAAGTAAATAGATAATTTTATTTTTTGAAAAATTATTACAGGTGGCCATCCATATCATTGGGATGCAATATTTTCAGAATGCTCAAAACAAATAAATTCATTTCTAACAAAGCTAAAAGAAAATTATAATTCAAGCATATTTTCAACAGGTAAAAGTAAATATATTTGTAAAAATCAGATAAACTTTGAATTTATAATATTGAACATTTATTACATTTTGGATGTAAAAATATATCATTACATTCAAAAATAAACTTCCAAGGGAGTAAAAATTGTTTTGAAAAATCAAATATTCTTCAATTATTAGTAAGTTTTCATTTTTTCTTTTGTTTGAATAGATTCTACTCTACTCTTATTAAATGCTTTTAAATTTTTTTTTAATTAATGAGAAATTTTATTTGAGGGATTTGATCATGAATTTTAAAATATAATATAAGATTTTATATATATTTTTATTTTTTAATGTTGTTTTTGTGGCATGTAACAAGTTTTGCAAGTTTTGAGCATTGTTCATTGGCAATGTTGAAAAATATAATACAGGTAACCCCCGTATAACACGGCACTTCTATAGTACGGATTCGCTCTAACACGGTTCGAGAATTGGTACCATCCCCCGTATAACACGGTACTTTTATAGCACGGATTCACTCTGACACTGTTCGAGAATTGGGTAAAACCCTCGTACAACAGGAAATGTAATAAATTTTTACATACTTAACTAATAATAGTTCACGAAAATTATTATTTTTGTGAACTATTAGTACTTAAGTATGTAAATTTTCTCTTCTCGCCTTCTGTCGATACACGTGATCCTTCTCGAAACTTGTTTCAATGTTGCCAGATTGCGATGCTTCTGCTTCTGATGTTGCCGAATGTTTTTCCCTTATTCCATACTTGCTTTATTCTTCATAAGTGCTTAGCACCATATAAGGAAATTTATAAAGATCTTTTAACTAGAAGCAAGCAATCTAAAATTACATACATTTTGCAAAAGATAAAGCATGGATCTGAAGATAATGCAGAAAAATGCACAGAGGATAAGGATAACTTGCCAAAAAGAAAACGCTCTCGGTTAATTAATAGTGTTTTTAGTGATGACGAAGAAAACATTGTTTAATTTATATTAATATGTATCACTTTAAAAAATTTTAATGAAGATATGTATCTTAATTATGAAAATATACTAGCATGTTTTTTAATTTTTGGAACCTAACCCTCCTTTTCGTATTAGTTCTTTGTTTCGTATAACACGGATTCGCATAACACGACAATTTTTTGGAACGTAACTACCGTGTTATACGGGGGTTACTTGTACATACAAATATTATTATTATATATATAATAAACGTTGTATATAATACATTAAAACAAATTATATTCTGTATTTGTCAATTGAAATTTTTAAAATATGAACCTTAGATGACTACAAATACAGAATAAAAATGAGCAAATAAAATTAAATAAAAGTACTAAAATAGTATTTACTTTTTAAATGACATTTAGGTTATCATTCAGATGGTCCCTCATCTTTATCAACATCAACTTTTTGGATGAAATTTAAAATGGTAAGAATTAATGAATTTAATTTAATATTTTATTGTTAGAATGAATTTACTTATATATATTCTTGCATCCTATATATATAGGGTGCAAGAAAAGTTTGATCCTCTTAAGACAATCATTGTTACTAATGTGAATCAATTATTGATTACCTATTTGGATTAAAAATGGTATGCAATGGTGGAATAATGCTTATTACAGCTAATAATCAGTGTGAAGCCCATTCCTGTAAATGCACTGAAAAATTCTTGTTGAGAAACTTCCCACCAACTGGAAGTGTTAACTTGGGTCATCATCCAAGATATCTATTATTTTTGAATGGATGTAATTTCTTATTCTTGGCCATGATGACGCAGCATACTGTTCTGAAGCATTCTTCAGATACAACTCTGAGATTAGGTCTGCAATGTTGTTTAGCTAATTTTTTCAGAACCCTGGAAATTGCAGTATTTTCTGCAAAGTTTCTTTGGCAATATGAAACTTTCCCAATTATCTGACATAACAGCATAACTGTTGAAACACAGACATTTTCTATCACTGCAAGTAATCTTTAGAATAATTGTGTTTCTGTTAAACTTTTTGGGTGACTACCCACATTTTCCCTTCATCTTGTAAATTTTTTTCTTCAATTTGGAGGTCATTTTGGTAGGTCACTCACTCGATGCATCAATAATATCACTGTTTTTGTTTTGACACCATTTCTTAGAGTTGCATGCAGTATTATGTCATTGGCATACTTTTGATGGAAAATACAGTTTTCTGAAGACCTTGAATCTGCTATGGATATGATCTCAATCTTTTCCCTATACAACAAAAGCAGCAATCATATGTCAAATTTGTTAAAAATTGATAGCCAGCCATAAAATAGAAAAAAATTGCAGACACACACACACACACAAAAAATATTTATACTGCAGGATAAGACTAAAAACAAGTTGTACCAATACTGACAGAAATTAATAGGCAGACATTAAATGTTACCTATAACATTCCTTAATACTTACTCTTTCAAGAGATAATTATCATTTCAAGTGATGAAAAATAGTGCCAAAAGTAATGTGATTCTATAAAAGAAAGTATTTTTAGTCACTGGTTAATCACTAATCAATCAATTGCACTACTTGTCAATGAGTTGGTGTATTATATGCCTTTTTTATGCCATAGAAATATGGAAAGTAGAAATATAAAGGGAATGTTTTAATAGCAGTTCAAAATATGCCTAGGGAAGTCAAAAACTTTTCATGCACTCAGTATATATCTTGTTAAAAATATATATTATTAATTCTTATTAAATTACATAAAATAAAGTTAAATATTTTATTCTGTTGCTAATTAAAACAAAAAATAATAAGACTTGAAAACATGCAATAATTATTTATTTAATTGTTTAAATAATTGTTTGTAAATAAAGTTTGAATTATGACTGTATTCATAATTTAATATTTTCTACTTAAAAGCAACCATTTTTAAAAAAAATTTTAGTTTTTATGTCTGATAAAGATAAGAAGATACTAAAAACATTTTCATTGTACAGTTTCATTGTGATCGGTTAACAAATAGTTCAGACTTCGAACACATCAGATAACGAACACTTTCGCAAAAGATTTTTATGTTCGAACAATGGACATCTCACAGAACAAACACAAGAAGAAGCAACATAAAATAATGAATACCGATTGGTCTTCCCTTATCTTCAGGCAACAATTTGAAACTTTTTGGAACACAGGAGACGTCGACATCAATAGTATATATTGATTGGATAGTATTCCTCCAAACTTTGAAACTCTCCCTTGTAATTCCAGCCTTTTATTTTTCTGACAGAAAGAATTTTTCATAGTATTCATGAGACTGTCGGGTGGGCACTCATTAAGTTTTGCATCAGTTTTTATTTTTGAAAGGTGAGAATTTAATAGCAAAAGGTAGAGAGTGGGCAGATGTCTGATGTTGCTGGGCAGTATGCTTGAGTAGGTCTACAGTAGGCCACAGTTCAGTCTTATCTAAACAGTATAATCAAGAAGATTCAAGCAGCTAAAGGAGTAACAAAAATTACATCTGAGAAATAAAAAACATTGAAGAGCTCATAATGAAACCTGAAATGGATCTGATGACAGAAGAACACCAAGAAACTCTGCAAGATATGTTTTCTTCTGAAAAAGAGGATTAATGCTGATAACTGCTATTAAAGATCTCTTGAAGAAGTGGGAGGATGTCAGAATAACAGTCTTAGAATGGAATCCAAACCAGGTTGAGATTAATAGGCTTAGGGGTCTCTACAATTACGATGCTATTACTTCTGAAAAATCCTGACAAACAGAAAAAACATGACTGATAAAAATGCAAGACTGTGTATATATGTATTTTTATTATTACATATAAATAAATGTAGTAAGAAAGTATATATGTTTTTATTTTTGGGGATCTCCAAAACGAATTAATCAAATTCCCATAAAAACCTATGGTAAATTGATAATCGGTTAACAAACAATTCAGATAGCGAACAAAGTCTTGGAACAGATTATGTTCGTTAACCGATCACCCACTGTATACTTTCTTACTACATTTATTTATATGTAATAATAAAAATACATATATACACAGTCTTGCATTTTTATTAGTCATGTTTTTTCTGTTTGTGGGGGTTAAAGANTTAAGCTAACTAAGCTTGAACCAGATATAAAATCGCTGTGTAAAAAGCATCAAGTCCACAAATCACATTAAAGTAAATTTTTAAAATCTATTATTTTTTTATTTATTAAAAGTTCGTTTCTTTGTTTTGACAACAGTTGTAAGAAATCGCTTTAAAATTATCATTCATATTACTAAAAAGAACAAAAATAAATTTTATAACTAAAATTATGTATGGGGGGACATGATGATTTTAGAAATGTTAAAGTGGGGCATGGCCTAAAAAAGTTTGGGAAACACTGGTTTAAATGAAGCAAAGAAAATAGAGACTGCAACCTACAAGTATTCTAATCTAACACCCAAGGATTTGTCTTATTTTACTCATGATTAGACTGTTTTGTTTTTGCTAGTTGTAAGGAATAATTTATCTTGTAAGTGGAAAGAGTCAAATAATGCAGCTTATTGTATTGAAGTATTTATATTGAGTACTTGTAAATTGGGATTACATTATATCTGGAAATAGAAGATTAAGCTATGATTTTTTAAAAATATTATATTAAATTACTATTTTTTTTTTTATTAAATAAAGTATTTTATAATGGAATTGCCTGGATTGAAGTCAAGAAAGTTGTATAGCCATCAAGTAATCTTTTCAATAAAAGGTAATATGTTTATCTAAAAGTAATATTGCAATTATTTTTTACTTTTGAATTGTATTCATTTTTAAAATTGAATAATGAATTACTTTTTAAGAAATAATTTTAACTCTTACCTTTAGTTAAAATACTTCTATAATTACTTTTCAGAAAATAAATAGTATTTTTGATTTTATACAGGTATCCTTTGCTTAACATGATTTCGCTTAATGCGGGATTTGATTACCATATATAAAGATATAAAGTAATTGCAACAATCACTTTATATATGGGATAGAAATTTTAATTAACACAGTTTTAACAGCTGTTTTTGCTTAACATAGATATGTTTTTCTTGGCAAATAAGGTGTTAGTAAATTTACTATTTTTGTGCTGAGGGTGATTTCTAATATAGATATGTAGTTTAATTATGATAGTTGTAAAATTTAACACATTACTGCTAATGTGATATTGTATTCTTAGTTAGAAGCTTGTTTTAAAACTTTACTTCACATTTTATTGGCATAAAATCAAATTGAAATGTCTCAGATAAAATGCACATCAGGCATATTATGAGGGCAGGCTGAAAAGTAATGCACACATGCTTGTAGAGCACAAATGAAATGATTTTCAGAAGCATGCCAGGTGGCATATGGAAATAACATTCCCCCTCTATGCGCATGCGCAGTTTGAGGTTGTTGCGTTCATTCAGTATATTTTGAGAAGTGGAAATATGGAGACATGTTCTGGTGCTATGTCAACGCGAGTTAAACGGCGTGCTGTTATCAAATTTTTAACTGCTGAAAAAATTACGTTTAAAGGCTGTTTATGGTGACGATAGGTCTATTGTAAATTGATGGATAATAAAACTTTGTGGTTGCGAGCCTGGAAAAGCCATAATTGTTGATGAAACACGCAGCGGAAGTCTGATCACTGCCACAGACAATTACCGTTGCACCTTGTTACAATGTTTAATTCTTCTCAGTACATACAGACTCTAAAACACCTCTGACGTTGAGTTTGTCATGTTAGAGGCAGCCTGGTACCAATAATCTTGCAAAATGACAATGCTCGTCCACACACCTCATGCACAACTGGAGAGGCTCTGCGAAACTTGAAGTTTGAACTAATTCCACACCCTCCTTATTCCCCCGATCTTGTGCCTTGTGATTTTTATTTGTTTCCTCTACTTAAGAGAGACCTCAAGGGTAATCATTACACCTCAGACGATGAGGTGAAGGCAGCTGTCAAGTCCTGTATTCGAGAAAAGTTGTAAGAACTTTTCAGTGATGGAATGAAAAAACTTGTTACACTTTGGGAGAAATGTGTTAGTCATCATTAAGGCTATGTTGAAAAATAAATATATGATTTTGAAGCTTAAGAATTGTACTTTAATGTACTTTTTGCCCAATCTTGCTATTTGTTTTTGTTCATGTTCTACAAGCATGTGTGCATTACTTTTCAGCCTGCCCTCATATGTATGCTTTTTAAATTTCGTAAAGGATATAACATTATACAAACAGTGTTGTGGTGTGTTGGACATGTCAAATGTGGTTTGTAAATTTCGTTTGGGAAATTTTGAACTAAAGAATTGAAATTGTATGGGGCATCCAAAAGCCATTGACAAACAGAAATTTCAGAAAGAAATTGTTAAAACTTGATGAATAACAGCTCGTGAACTTGTAACAACTCTTAGCATGTCACAGACATGATGATTGTGTTCTGCATGCATTAAGTGAAGAAAAATAAACTGAATTCATTATACTTTTGTCTGACAATGGTAGTCAGCTCAAAAGTTTCATTTTATTTTTAAATTAATTACACATTTTTATCACAGAAAACTTTTCTTATGGATGACAAAATAAAAATATATGTTAATAACTGAAATTTTGTTGTAGCAGGTCACGATTGTTTGATCAAGTACCAACATACCACTATATTTGATTAATGTGATTTTGATATATGCGGTAGCATCAAGGGATTAGTTGTGTTAATCAAAGGATACCTGTATATAGAATTTCAATTCATTTTTTATATATGGGCATAATAATTCAGTGTTTGCTCCAAAAATTTTTTACTTACTGGCATTTAGTCTCTTAAACTGCCTTTTTTTTTTGTATCTGACTATTGGCATTAGTAAAGTTACTATCTAATTTTGAACTATTTGTGCAAGGAAACTATATAGTAGTAATAGTAAAAAGAAAAATTTAGAACTTCAGTATTTGATCATTTCAAATATTCAGGAGTGGAATTAAGCCAAAATGGAAAAGATAATTGAGCAATAGGAAATAGGGAAAAAACATGAAAAGGCAGTTTAAGAGGCTGAATGAAATCTGATAGAATGCCAAAATTTCAAAAAGAAAAAGGAATATATGTAACACTATACTGTAAAGTTTATTATGTATTATATGGAACCAGAAATGTAGGGAACATAAAAAACAGATGAAAGCCAGCTAAATGCAGTTGAAATGGATGCATTGACTATTGACTTAGTTTTAAGATTTGTGAATTAATTTGCCACTTTAATTACGTAGAGGCAAAACTTCAGTAGCTTATTTTTCTGATATTAAAAATTTTTTATTTTTATAATTTTCCTTACTTTTAATTACAGAACCAAACGTATAACAATAAAAACAAATTAATAAATTATGTTATGTGAATAAGTTAAAGATTTATGATTATTATTCAATGAGTTTTATCTGTTTCAGCTCTCTGTCATTTAGTTTCCTTTTCTTATAATGAAGATAAATACGGTGTAGTTCAAAGATCGTTATCAGAAATACTTTACCTGTTGTTTTCTCTTCATGAGGTAATTTATCATGGTTTTCATAAAATTGAATTAGCTTATCAAGATAATTAAAGCTAGTATTAATAATTAAATGATGTGTGTTAGGTGTTATCTCTTGATAAAGATGGCACCTATTCCTACCTATAGGCCAAATTACTTAACATTTAATTATTAATAGTAGTATTAATATAGCCCAATATAATCCAGCAATTGTTTTGCTCTAATAATGGGGTTTGTGGATATTTATATTTTCATAGACAATGGAAAAAGAGAAAATTCCTAAACAACATAAAGATATGTGTGAAATTGAACATTTTCGACAGTGCATAACAAATGGTATATATCATATCGTGTACACTTTCAAAGACCATCTACAGTAAGTTAACTTTTGTGTAATTTTTCTTAATTTTACAAAATATTAAGCTATGAATCATTAGAATCTTAATAGCATTCATCAATTGTTAGTTGTTTTAAGTAAATTTTTTACTTTTGAGTTTATCAAAAGTATCAATAGTCTATAGTATCAACACACTGTTTCCCATTGTACTATGAGAGTCTCAGGGCATGATGACTTTTTTTTTACAATAAGCTTTAAAAAACTCTAACATGAAGTGTTTAAAGTTGTATAACTAATATACAACTTTAAACACTTCATTTTAGAATTTTTTATAGCAATTTTATATAAAATAAAATTTTTGAGAAATTGTCATGCTAATTATATAAATTTCCATGTCTGATTAAAAAAAAAAAATGATGTGAAATGAATTAACGTGTAAATGAATAAATAAGTATACATTTGAATATAATTAGAAATATTTTTAAATGTGCAGATTCAAATATTTTATAATTAAATCATATTCTATTTTCAGTTCACTGCCATTGTCACCTGAAGATCATAAACGTGTGGATAAGTTTTTGAGCTTTATGGAATGATTATTTGAAATACAATTTAAATCTGTTCACAGCTTTGTTATGTAAAGTTATTTAAAATGTATCTAAATTGATATATTTTAACAATTTTTATATTTATATCAGAAGAAAGTGTTAAATTTATTTTTCTGATTTTATCTTAATGTTAAAAATAACAAATTTTTTTAAATGACTTTGTATAACAAATTTTACTAATATTATCAATCATATCTTGTATTTATTTGCTTTTTTTTATACAATATAATAAATTTTTTAAACTGTATAGCTCAAGTAAATGAAAAATCATTAAATAATAAAACTGTGTAAACTACTTTGATGAATATTACACCAAGGGGTCATAGAAAAGATTTATCTAAGTAGTAGTTTTGGTAATGCTATAAGCTAGCTGTGCCTGTTGTGTTGCAAAAAGCATTTAACACGTTAACCGTCATCCGACGCACTGGCAGTCGTACTGATTAGGGCCATACGGAGCCATACGACCACTGGCTATCGAACCACTTCATGAGGCCATACGACGGCCGGTGGTTGGATCCAACTTTATAGATGTGCGCAAGAGGCCACCACTAGGATGTAAAACAATGTCTTACAAAACCAGGATAATTTAAACTCGAGTGAAACTACATTGGTTATAGCGATGTTGGGCAGTTGGATGGCTCTGTACGGCCCTAATTAGTACAACTACTGGCACGTTGGATGGCAGTTAACATGTTAAACCTTAAACATTTATTTATTACAAACTTAAGAGCAACAATTGAAACTCCTCCCTGGCATTATAAAATTACTATTTGGTCACATTGTATTTCATAAATGCTGTGAAAACAGAGTAATCCTTTAGAATAGCAACAATGATGATTTTAATATAGTCATCAAAAAATTAAAAACCTTTCATAATTTATTGTCATTTTTTAATATTAAAAAATTAACAATAAATACATATTAGTTGTATATAAAAAAATAAACTAACTACATTTTTTGTACTTTTAAACAATTGAACCAAAATAAAACATTTGTAATTAAATATATAAGAATAGATAAAACACTATTTTTAAAAAAAATTTTTTTGTAATTAAAATATAAAATTGTTTCAAAGATTGATAACAATGATTTAAATGGTGTTTCAAATTATTGCAAAGAAATACATTTCATAATTCATGCTAAAAGAATAAGGCTTAAAGTATACACACTATTCCAATTTTCTTTTATAAGAATTGATATTTACAATTTGTAATTCATAGGAACAAATATTATGATGATACAGATGATAAATATTTGATTTATTATATTACACTGTTCATTATCACAGAAATTTTAAAATTATTGAAATATGAAAAAAGATAGGTACAGAAACATGGAAATTTTTTACTATGCTTAACATGTCTTGTCAAAGCACCAGGTATATTTATTAGCTGAAAATAACACAATAATTTGTTACTCTCTTCTAATAACTGAGAATGTTCACAAAATACTTTTGTAACCTCCAAATTATGATTTTTTCTAGCAAGAATAAACAGATTTTTGAAATACTTGGAAAATGATATTTTACCTTTCAATTAAGGTTTGATTAAAAAAGTAACACAGTAGAATTAGTAGTAATTTTAACTGCTTCGTGGAGAAAGTATTTTTTAGTCGTGCTGTCTTTTGTTTCATATGCTTTGCCAAAAGATATGTTGTCAAACAGTAGATTTTTTTTCATGAGATATCATTTGAAGGTAATAACTGACTGAAGTGCGAAAAGGACGTTAAGATTTAAAAGAAGACATTTTTATGATACTTCTACGCATTTAATTTTGTAATGTATGAATTTTGTTTTGGCATATTTTAATTAATATTTTTTTTCAATTGTAAAAGGAAAATATCAATTTAATGTCATCGGCATAAGCTACGATGCGAGATTTGAGATGGCAAAGAAGGTTATTAATGTATATTGAGGAAAAAAAGGCCACAAATGGTATTCAATGGATTATAAAAATGATTATTATACTGTATATTAAAGCATTAAAAATCTGGACTGATGATGCCAGACCATATTGATTTTCAAATTTGTAAATTCATATTCATTTTTTCGATGCTTTGCTGTTTTGTTCTTTTAATGCCCTTAGATAAGTGATTACTCTTCCACAGATAAAAAAACCCAAATATAAACATATAAAACTACATTATGACATTTATTGTGTAAAATAAATTGATAGATACTAACTAAAAAATATTGAATAATCTTTTATTAACATGTGCATGATGATTGAAAACAGATGGTCCAATAAACAATACTGTACTTGCATTGTAAATGTTTTTAAAAATGTTTTAAAGTTTAGACAAATAAAGCCACTCCATTAACACAAAAATGTTCTCTAATAGGACATATAATATAAAAACAAATAAGTACAGTACAGTAAAAAAGTAAGGCCATGTGTATCTATAAAATCTGGTCTCTAATCACTTCTTGCCTTGTCCTTTCAAAATGAGGATGTGATGCACACTGTTTGTTCATATATATTTTTTGATACCTTTTTAATGTGCAATTACTTCTCACATGTTTGTACAATAAAATCTGTTCATTATGATTTTGTATAGTTATTGTACATATGGGGCCATTAGGCCAAATCCACCTCAACCTAAAAAGGCCCATCGTATACTCTTCAGAAATTACTTCAGAAGTCAGACATTTTACCAGGACTCAACAAAATCACATTCCACTGAATGTGATTTTGTAAGAATGTTTTGACTGTATATTAGAAAATAACCAGTAGGTTTCACCAAATAACATACATTATAAAGAGCCCTGGATAGTGATGCACAGTAAGATTAAAGATAGGCCCTTATAAATCTTCCTTAGAATAGTGCTCCCTTATGCAAACTGCTGCTCTAAAAATGCCTCGAACATGTTACTCATTTAACAGACTGCTCTACTATCTGGTACTCTGTTAACAGGAGTCTTGTTAATGTAAAACATAGAGGAGAAAATTAGAACATGGGAAAGTGCTCTCTTATCCAATGCTCTAAGCGGGCTTGACTATATTAGCATCAGTATCCAGTAAAATTTTAGCTAATGGAGTGGCTACAGGTAATAGCAAGGCTGAGGCTGAAATTTTAAATGCGAAAACGTGTAAGTCGTGTTACAGGCAGCACTGCTTTCCTGTAAGCCTAGAAGTTTGAAATTGGCATTTGGAATGTCAAGCATGATTCCTCTGACTATCCAAACACCATTGTCAAACTTCTAGGCTTACAGGAAAGCAGCACTGAACGTCTGACGTACACATTTTCGCATTTAAAACTTTGGCCTCAACCTCGCTAATAAATTAAGATCATCACGGATGACCATCTTGGTGAGGTCAGATTTATTAAAGGTACCATCCATAAATGATGTCATACTAAAATTCCACATTTCTAATTAGCCCTTTTCCTCCCATGTCATTCATTGTCACATTATGAGAAAGAACCCTCCCTGACAAGTGATGTCACATTAGTTGTCATCATTGATACAACATTAGGGTCTCCATAAGTGTTCACACTTCATGGAGAGAGAGAATAATTCAGAATGATGCATTGTGACAAAGGGGAGGGGAATGATCCTTGTGACCACATTCATCATTAATCAGTATCATACACTGGGGTCAATCTGTACAAACATTGGAGGGATGGGCCAACATCAACTAAGAAACATTTCTCATTTTCAGGTTTTGAGTGAATATACTGTACAACATAACATTGTATTTTATACCAAACATGACAAATAAATATACTGGGAGGGGGACAGTTTGGTACAAAAATATTGGGCAAATATCTCCTCCCCCCAATGGTATCATACATGCTTTAATGCAATATGTCACATTTTATATATATTTTTAAAGAATATATTTTAACATCTTAAGTTCTTGAGTTGTCTATGTGTGTGTATGTGTATATACATATACATCATGCCATGGTAAAGCAATAGCTAACTGAGTGTCAATGGGGAGAGCTGTGGGTGCTTAAAGTCATTCCCAGTTAGCACTGTGACCAACCTGTATGATTATATCTAAATTAATAGCTATGGAAGCAAAGATTGGACTGAGATCCAGGCAGCATAACTGACAATGTGTCTGCACGGTAAGCAGAAGTTGAGGATTTGAGTCCCAATCCAGGCAAACTCTTTTCCTCCAGAAATTCTAAATTAAAATCATCACAAGATGGTGGCTTAACTGCCTACCTCTAGACAAGTTACTTTGTATTTAATTATTAACTTAGCACAATAATTCAGCAGATAAAAATTTTGTTTATGCACTTAAATTTATATAAGAACACTAAAAGATAGCAAAAAGTAAATGTACAGTTATAGATACTTTGTTGTTTCTGAAACTGCTGTGGCTATGGCATGATGTATTCCTGGCTAAGGAACTGCTATGACTATCAACAGCAGTTTCATAGCCAGAAATAAGTCATTGTGGGGACTAGAGGAGCAAACTGAAAAAATTGTGACTGGTATTTTTTTCAGCCAGCACTAGGCCTATTAGCTACTGTATAGTTTACTTGCAAAAACATGTAACAGTAGCCTAAGTTTATGTGATGAATGCAAAAGTACATACATATACTGCATATGGGCACTACTGACTAAGCTGAAAGAACTTAGCCCCCTCATAGCTGCCATATCAAAAGTCTCAGCCAGAGTAAAGTGATAGTCATAGGAATTGTACAGTGTAAAATATATCTTATCACATTCTATTTGTATGTTTTTATACAAATGACTCATCAGTTCATGTTTTCAGATACAAGTCTGCAGTCAAATAAATTGTGAGGTAAGAACCAGAGGGTTCCATCTTCACCAATGGTACCTTATCCATGAATGCTAATGATGTTGTCCAAGGAAATCTCACAAGTTATGAACAGTACCGCTTTTATTGTTCAACATGAGAACAAACACATAGGAGCAAAAATGCATACACCTTACTTAAGTCATCTCAAGGAAAGAGTTTGAGAGTTATGTGCCATGACATCACAAAAGTTCACCAATCCAAGGGCAAATTGTTAATAATACTGTATATATTTTAATTTCTGCTGTAATATTCAATTATATAATTATAATAAAGAAAAATTTAATGGGGACTTTGGCTTTTGTCTAGACCAGTGAAAATACAAATGCCAATTAAATATTTGCAAACTGAATATCATCATTGTAATTTATGGAATTTAGAATTTATTTTAATATTTATTCTTTGCTATTTATATCTATACATAAAAGATAAAGATATGACATACTTCTCTCAAATCATTTTTACACAAATGTAGGAAAACACCATTTATTTCAATGAAATTATTTACATCGACACTGGAACAGAATTATGTATTTATGTATTAATTCCATCCTGTAATACCACAATGATTTAATCACTGTAATAAAAAATTTCCTGGTATTATTTAAAAAATAATACCAATGTATTAAATCTATTTCTGAAGTAACATTTTGAGCATGCTGAACCTTTCTCTATTTATGAAGATACTTTTTTTCTGAGATAATACAAATATGATTTAAGATATTCTAAAAGACATGTTTCTGATTCTTGTCAAGAATTACAAAAGCAATTAATGTTTTCTTTTTCTTTTTTTTATACAAAGATATGTACATTAAATCAATGATCAAAAATAAAGAATATTGATTAGAAAACAAACTCTTAACAAGAATGAATCTTATATTCTAAATGAAACTACTTTTGGACTTGGTTCAATGAAAAAAATAGGAAAAGGAAAAATTGATTTTTGTCATATGTTTAAAAAAAGGCAAAATTTTCAAATTATATAAAGTATTGTAACAACTAAATATTGTAAATTCAGTATAAATTGCAAATATATGCAAGCACAGTTCATGAATGGCTGACTGATCACAGAAATTCAATCCTTTTCATATGTAGTTGAATTTGTAACAATTATCAAATTCTGTTATTCATGTAATTAAACTTTATCATCTGTCATTTCCAAAAATTGGGCATAAACATCACGATTGCATTCACCTTTTGCAGCATTGAACACAAACTTGTAGTAGCTTCCATCTGCACAAATTGCTAAAAAAAAAAAAAAAAGATTTTAAACATATATTCACATAATAAAGCAGTATCTGGCTATTAATAAAACAATCATTATTCAAAGTATAGGCCTTAATCTTATAAAAGTATAAGTCTTTATCTTGATAAAAATAAATTGTGACCAAGAGATATCAATGTGTTTGGATCTAGAAAACATCCAAATTCATATCTTTCATTATACTACTAAATAGCAACTGCAGAATAAAGTTAAGACTCATCAGAAAACAGGATGTATTCCCAGAATCTTAGATTATTAAATGAGGTTTGGTATACATCACTGAAGGACATCATATCAGGTAAATTTCCCACTTGAAGCAAATTTTTTTTCATCAGGATCTTTCATTATTGATTTTCATATGACATGTTTCCATATACATTTCTGGTTACTTAATTTTCATCATCATTATTAATATATATTTATAATATAATCTAACATTTTAAATTGAAAGTGACTAATATATGAATAATTTCTAAATATAATATGATTATAATTTAAAATCTCAGATTAATGATGATAAATCTATGATAAAAAATAGCTAGTAGCAGTATTTTTTAACCTTTTTTTACAATAAGTAGTAACTGAAAAAAACTTTAAAGTTGATTTTTTCAGCTTTTTACAAAAGCTTCAGAAACATTATTTATAGCAAATTACACATTTATAATTTCTACACAGATATTTTAGATTAAAAACACAAAAATATCTATACTTATACTAAACAAATTTATTAAAATGACATGAGAAACAACAAACTAAGTTTTAAATATAACACCAATCAGTTTTACTACTACAATGAGAAATAACTTTCCTTTTATCTTAAAACTTGTTTATAGGAAAATTTATTGACCTAAATTTTACTGTAATTCCTTATTAATTAATTTAGCCAGTGCATTGATTTCATTATTTAGTCTTCAAATAGAATGGTTTTTTAATCAATGTAATGAAAGTAAATTATCTTACAATAAAAACTATTATGAATTACTGATTAAACATTCACAACAATTTTCTATTATTAATTATTTTGGAATGATCATCTTCAATTACAGTATTATCTCATCATATCTTCATAATTTTTCATGCAAATATAAAACAAAAATCATTAAAATTATGAAAAAATTTAAGAGAATGCTAAAGCTAAAGATTGGTGCACTGAAATAATTACAATTAAATAAAATTTTAAAATAATTTTAATTGCATTGTTAAAACTCCTTAAAATTCTATATTTAACTTACTTGGAACCAAACTCATATACTGTATTTCTGTTTTTGAAATGACTTAACTAAAGGCTGGTTCTCACTATTATGGAACCTGTAGCAGTAAGTGGCAAATCTGTGATATAGTTGCCATTAGGGATTGCATTACCAGTAACAAGGTAAAAAAAATAGATGTAATAATTTTTTGAAGCCAAAGCCAAATATTTATTTATATGTCCTTTCATCTATGTATTTTAATACATTAAAGACAGAAGTGTTAAAAATTATTTAAATCATAAAAGTATCTCATGCCATTATCTTTTAAATTATTACTTTACAGTTCTTTACTTTAAAGTATCATATTACAATACTATGCTGAACACTTTGGCAATTTATATCTTAAACCATAATGCTTAGACTGCAAAAGCTAGTAATTTTAGTTGCATAACATTTTAGTTCACAAAGTGGAATACATTTCTTTTAATGTAAGTGCTCATACTAACAGTTTTTTAATATTAGCAGCTAATTATGGCATATTCTATTTTTCAAGCAGCAAAACTTTTCAAAATAGAAAAAAATTCAATTGATAATAAAGCACTAAAGATTGTTTAGCTCCCAACTCATTGGTGAGTTGGCAACTAAACCATCACCAGTGCACTACTTTTTGCATTTGGATTTGAAATTTAAAAATTACCAGTAAACTAACATCATTTTGAAAATTTACCATTTTACCAATAATAAGAGAGGTGGTAAATTTGCAAACCCTAGTTGCTATCATGACATTAGACTATTCAGAACTGTTATCGTGATGATAACTGGAAAAAGTAAATATTGACCATTGTGAAAACATCATTTATACTGACATCATCAAATACCAAATTCAACATGAATGCCTTTTGATAAAGCATTCTGAAATAAATTTTTCAACTTTAAACTGCTAATCAAATTGTAAGAAGTTTAGTTTGTTATTTGGAGAGGAAAAAAAATCATTTCTCTTATAAATCTAAAAAACATAAAAATAAATAATCACAACAGCAATGAAGTATCTACAGATTTGTGAGAGTCGAACTTATTGGAATAAATTGTTAAATATTTTTTTTGTAAGAGGAACAGTTTAGAGAAATAAACAACAAACCGATATTTAAAAAGAACATTAAATTGTTTTCCCACGAACTTAATTCCTGGTTGAAGATGATACATCCAATGTGTCACCCGGAATCTACGAAAAGACGAAAGAAAACAACTATTGGTCAGTGGTGAAAAAACAGTCCTAATAAAGCAGTGGAAAAAACCCAACAATACCCCCTTTATAAAAAGAGGGGTCGATGCGTAAGAATCAGTCTCCGGAGTTTGGTGTGAACTGTGGATTTATGTGAACAGATTAGCTGCTACCCGGAACTATTCTAATCGCCGCTGTTCAGGAGAATCACCACCTAAAGAAGTATCAATGTTCGAAAGAACTTTGTGCCACATAGAGACTCGAGGACTAAATGACTATTCGACAACTTATATCAAGGTATTTATCCTCGCGCGAAATACATGTGAGCTCTCTCTCATTAATACAGGTTATCAGGAAGGAAGTAGCTATGTTAACTGAATCGAATATGATTGTATATAGCTTAAATAGAACAATAAACAGGTATTATGTATATAAAGCAAATCTATAGAGTATAATTCCTCTGATTCTCTCCTTCCACCTCCATCCCGGAACCAAAAGTCCACACATGCAACCGTTTGCGTAAGGAAAATTAACGGCCAATCTGGTTTCTGTGTCTGTCCTTAAGACACAGTGGTGTCATCCTGACAGGGCGCCAAAGAGGTGCCGACCCTGCGGTCACAGATTGGTCTCACATTACACTTTGAAATAGAGACTTTAGCTTGCTAAATAGCATTATAAAATATTAGAGACTGTAGTTTAATCTTAAGTAGCCAAGTTCCCATGTGTAGCCAAGGATTTCTAGCTGAACTAAGAATAATTCGAGTCTGGCAGACTCAAATTTAGAAGGGTAATTCAAGCCTTCTTGACTCTCATTAGACATTAGCATCATCCCACTCTTGTAAGAGTTTGGCTATAATTATAACAGACAGAGGAACAGTCCCTCTCTCAATATGAAAATAATTCTGTCTGGCACACCCACAGTTATAAGTCTAGAAAACTATCAAGCAGAATCAGTTCTATGTTTGCTATTCACTGTTAATGTAATTTCATCAATAAATACTTACCAATTACTGAATTTGAGTCAGTCCCAAAAGCACAAATGCAATAAGCTCCACCAGGCACTTGGAAGCGAGAAAAACTCCATTTGGAACTAAAATATTTTGGCAGAAATGATGCAGATGCCAAACTAAATAAAATAATAAAACCAAAATTATTATTTATTAATGTTTGATCTATTAATTGTATATATTCAATTTTATATTACCTTGTGAAAGATAATTAATCTTTCAGAAGAAAATTATTCAATACTTCAATAATTCCTATAAATCTTATTGTTTTGTTTTTTTATTTAAAACTTCTTAATGAATTATTTACAAAATAGGGACAATTTTATACACTATTAAAAAATGTAAAATCTATATATAATGAGTAATTATGTATTGTGACATGGTCACAATGCCAGGCTGCAATTTTAATCATATTTTTAATTTATTTTGTTTAAAATATATGCTCTCCACCTCAAATTAGTAGTGGCTTGCCTCTGTATATCATACTTTTCTTTTAACAATAGAGTTGTGCCAGTCATCTAACACCTTTCTGGAAAAAATTTTTGAATTGAAATAACATGACTTCCAGTTTGCATTGGAAGTTCTTATATAGCTAAATGAGGCCTCCTGCACCTAAGGTTTCCATATCTGGACTCATCTTTCATCTATCTAATTCTGTTCTTGAGATTAAGGAAGGACAGACAAACAACAGTGGAAATTTATAGGTCTACAATTTTTTCAAATTGTAGCCCAAAAAGCCTTGATCTTAAATAACAAAACTTAAATATTCAAATTAATTACAGTACAAAAATACATTTTGTGAAAACATTAAATTTTTGCTTGCTTAGTTAATATGAATACAGCTCTAACAATGAAAGTTTGAAAAAATTCTTCTCATTGTAATATAAAATTTATTGTACATGCATACATGTTTGTGTATGAACAAAATTAAGTCAAATATATAATTCCATTATGATAATTAGAATCTTTTTTCCTCTGAAGATATCCTAATCTTTCAAAGTTTACAAAAATCATTTTTAATTTTTAGATTTGATATCTAGTTTATCTGAAAAGTTTCAACAGCAAGATAATTTATATGATATCATCTTTCCTTTTTAAAAGGGAAGGACATTTTAAATTTAGACAGTATCTGAAAATGAGTCCTCTTTTGATTAGTCAAATGGGAGAGGTTTTAATTTTAGATTAATTCATACTAAAAAAGTAATCAATCAGTATCAGTAAAATTTGTAAGCTGACAGTCAAAAACACTGTGTTATCGTTCATCCAAGAGATTACAATGCTCTGTGATTAAACTAATAGACCAATTTACATTAACAAAAAGAAAACATTTCTACAATTACTCAAATAAAAAAGATCAGATCAAGACTACATCAGATAATGTCAAGATACAGGATTAATTCTCGATGTAGAAATGCTACAACATAAAAAGATTACTTATATTGTTAATCATATGAAGAAGTTAAACACACAACCCTTAATTTAGACAGAAGATTTGTTCTACAAAAGTTTAATATAAATCAAAATTTGTGCAAATCAAGACTAACATTTAAACAGGAGACAGATATAAACTCACAAAACTGGAACACCAGTCAATAACTTACACAAAAATCTCAGTACCTACTCCAGCACTCAATTTACTAATCACATAAATGTTTTCAGCCCAGTTTAGGGACCTTCAATTGGGAAATACAGCCATTCCATTGAACCCAACATATCCAGAATAACTTGAAAGTAAAAAGTGTTCTGTAGGAACATTCCATTGGAGTGATGTAAATATTTAAATTAAATAGCTCTTTACAAATTTTCAAACATGAAATTAAAAAGTAATCTACAAGAATGATGTAAATATAAATTTATATCACTAATAATTTTTAGTGTAAATTGAGAATTAAGTGCAATCATAAAAAGAACACAAACAGGCATGCATGCACACTTAGAGATATGAATATTTTATACTTGTTCTTAGAAATATAAATAATGTTTATAAAGAATAATTATTGTTTAAAATGTAAGAAAATGTAGTAAGTAAAACAAACCTTGATTGTTTATTCTTTTTTGGATCTTCAACTGCAAAAATGTGTACTGTTCCATGATCACTTGATACACACAAAAGTGAAGAATTAAAATTGAAATTAATACTGTAAGTAGAAAGTACACATTAATATGATCTATTGTTACCCTAGTTTTAAACCCATCAAAAATGATGGGAAATATATAACATATTTCAAATCTATTTAATGATATAATTTAATGTAATATTTCATATCATTAAACTAAAAAATATTACAATATTTTTTATAGAAATTATCATCATAAAAGACCAAACCAATTTTTTGTGACAAAACAAAAAATAATGAGAGTATCTCAGTAATAAGTGAACTAAATTCATTAATGCAAACCACACTTATCGTTACTTAGTTTGGAAATAATTTTCTCATGAAACATATCTACTTCTAAAATACTGAACTCAAATATTTCTAGAATACTGTTAAAAATATTCATATTCTTCAAATTATATATTATAAACAATATTTTAAATTTGCTTTTCAAATTCAGAAAAGTTGTATGAGTATTAATTGATATGATGAATAATCTTTCATTCCAAATGTTCTTTTTCACTCAGTTATATCACACGTCTAAATAGATTGGATAATTCACTATTGTGATATTATTACACTAGTTCATATAATCTAGTAGTTTCAGTTCTTGTTTAAAGAATTATTAAAACACTATAATGATAATACAGTAGAGCATCGATTATCCGACTCAATTGGGGATTCAGGCTGGTCAGATAACTGAAAAATCGGATAACCGAAAAGAAGGAAAAAATACATTATTACTATAGTATATTAGGATATTAGTATATCCCATGTAATTAGTTAATTAGTATATCACTATTAACCAACTTCGCGTTGAATTTTCATTTATGTTAAACCTAACAAATTTTTTTTTTAAATAATAATCGTCGCTATTGTATCGTTAAAAATTATTTTTAAATTATTTTATTGCTCACAAAACAAACCACCACTCATAATTAGAAAATTAAGTCTTGTTTAAATATTGCCCTCCCTTCAATGGTCGAGCTGTTGATGCCAGCTAAAACACGCAAAAATTTAACAAAAATAATATTAAAATAGCCAAGATATAGCCAAATATTGTAATGCCACATCACTAGCGGACATTTGAAATTTGCCGACTAGAACAGTCGGTTAACCAATGTGACGGTTAATCGGGAGTCGGATAATCAATGCTCTACTGTATATACTAACATTTTATCAATTGTCTGAGAATTGTCTTCTATAGTTGAAGTTAGACTGAAAATTTCAATCATTCTCTATATTACTATTCTTTCTAAAAATATTTTTACTGTTTGAAAACCTGTGCTTATTAAATCAAGATCATGTCTTCAAAATATCTACTCTTCAGAAAAAGCATAATCTTATATTTAATAAATGTAGAATACAGAGCATTCATAAAGGATAAAATATTTATCGTTGCTTTTTCCTTCCCATTGTTGCACACCATCATCAGTAGTTCATTGAAAATTACAAAAAAATCCTTTATGAATGCTCCATATTCTACATTTATTAAATGTTAAATTATGTCAGCCACATTTTAATTTGTTATTTTATTTACATTATTATTGTGATAGTAGCAAAACACCAGAGGACGTTTTACCATTTTTGCATATTTGTTGCAAAGGCAGTAGTCTAAAAGGAAGGTCGTCTCTAATTTTTTGGAATTTTTCAATGGACTACTGATGGTGTGCAACGACGGGAAGGAAAAGGCAACAATAAAGGTTTTATCCTTTACGAATGCTTCATATTCTACATTTATTAAATGTTAAATTACATCAGCCATGTTCTAATTAATTTTATTTAGCATAATCTTATAATTAATTAATAATGAATGAAATATTTATTCTGTTCTATCATGGATGAACAGTAGATTCATCCATTTCAAATAAAAATTTCTAGTTTTTTTTCAAGTTTGATAATTTGTGGTAATATATTCTCAAAAATAGAATAAATTTATGTTTGATACTACTGTTAGAGTGGAATAACTGGAAAACCAAACTTAAATGTTTTTGTAATTAAAAAACAATTTTCTATTGATGAATACCCAACATTTTCCTGCATTGTACACACTATACAGTACAGGGTACATGAATCACTCTCCATGATTCTTAATCTTATTAAATCTCCATATTTCAAAAATTCATTTTTTACACAAATGTATATGCAAACATTTTTTAATCGAAAAAAAAAAGATTTGATATAAAATTTTATATTTTATTATCATCATATATCATCATAAAATAATTATTAGCAGTTAATTATGTATGATTATTCATAGTCACTAGAATATAGACTCATTAGTGGCTAAATGAACACTGATAGTTGAAACTTCATGCAGTTGCCTGACCAGCAAGCTGACTGCATGAAGTTTTCCAAGTTTTCTTCATGTGTCTAGCATTTAAATAAAAACCAGTTTTCCAAAGAAAATCCTCCCAGAAGACACTCCCTTGCATTGCATTGCTTTATCCTCATCATATCAACCAATTATTCATATGCAGAAAAAGAATTTATGCATGTTCATGCATTAATAAAAGTTCTATCCTACTGTTGCACTAGGCTGCAGTGACAGAGAATCAAAATATTTTGGCAATAGCATGAGAAACTCATGTTATTGGAAATATTTTATTATTCTCTTGGCAACAACTAATGACAAGTAGGCTTTAAATTTTATTGTGTTTACAAAATTTACTTTGTTTTCACAAAATATGTACAATTATTTGAAACATTTATTTTCAAAGGTTAACTTTATTTCTAAATATTTTATAAACTGACAAATCATATGCAATTTACAAAAAGCTTTTGCAACCTAAAGTTAGATTGCTAAACAGAAATAGGAACATTTAGTCTAAATAATGCATTAGTGTGGAATTAAAGTGTTAAGAAAATAAATAAGTGAAAACTAAACATTATAATATAAATAGAAAATATGAATCATTTGAAATTAGAGAAAATAATAAATTTCACTAACTCAATTCATATCCACAGTACCATAATTTGAAGTTGCAACTACTTATTACATTCATGCCACAACAAACCATTATTGAAACTTAAAATGTCATACTTTTAAAATACAAAACAATGTCCTGATTATGAATATGGGCAATTTTGGTAATTAAGCTAAGTATGAATTTGCTATTTTAAAAGTATATAAACTTGTTTTGATATGTTTTAACTAATGATAAAAGCTTACTTTAGATAACTCTACAAATCAACAGTTTGACTGAATTAATATTCCAAGTCAAATATATCTAGTGTAAGACCAATTTAACCAATAAAATTATATCTTTTTTGACAAAGATAAGTAAAAAACTTAACACACAATTCTTAGAATAAACAAAACATCAAATAAAAATTCTACAGCTTATTTTTACAAGTGAATTAAAAATGTAGAAATAACCAAAATCAAAATTAAACCATCCATAGTTTTAAAAGCATATAGGGTTTTTCTTAATTTAATTTTGAAAGCTGTATAGGTATCTTTGTTCTTGTTAGTACTTGATTGCTTCTTGTTCTCTTTAAAATTGTTGAAAATGAGTATAAAATTGTTTTGGAGAACTTATCATACACAAACTCATAGGTGATTGATCAGACAGGCTTTTATAAAATATAAAAATGTAGGACATTCTTATACCCCTCAACCCAACTACTTGTGGATGAAGTACTTTCCCTGGTTAAGTTAGTGGTGTGCAGGGCTGTATATTCTCTTGCTAAGTTTAACAATTTAATTAACCAGGTCAAAAAGACATTATTTTGCAATCCACTTCATTTCTTAAGAAGGAATTGGTCTTTGTATCACCAGCCATACCATATCTGGGTCCCCTTCCCTTCTTGTACACCAACTTTTCAGGAAATTTGGTTATATATTGTCTCTAGCTCCCCAGCCCAAGTTACATAGAATCTTTTGCAACAATCAAGATAAGATTACACTTTTAAAAAAATCGGAGTTTACATTATACCTTCACAAAACTTGATAAATGGGTCAAAATTATTATATATAGGAGCCAGAATGCTATGCCTCCATGTTGCAGAGCATTGTTAAGATGTGCATAGCAGATGTACAACAGAACTAGCCAAAGAAGTCATAGAATGTAACTTTGATCCTCTTTGGTTGCAAATTTCACTGGTAAAATGCTGTGAGGACAGGCAAATCTTGTTCTTATGGGAATCTTTGTTCATTACACCAATGTTGCAGTGTAACTCTCCAACACTTGATATACCAAAGTTGTGGGTTGTGCTATTCAATTTCTAAAATCATAGATTGTGCAGTTTGTGATGAAACATCACATCAATGGTACTCCAGTGTATTTGTTTATTGTTTAAATTATTGTTTATTTTGTTACCTTATTTTTTGTATATTAATTCTGTTAATTTTATTAGTAATAGTCAGTGTATATCATATTTATTTTTGTAATATCATATAACTTTTGTAATTTTATATTTATATTTATAATTCTACGTTCCATGCTCATGCGAGAGAAAAATTTGAAAGTTTCTATCTCTAGATTTCTAGTGTTCTGTTTGCCATATTGCCTGAAGAAGACACTTATAAACTGTCATAAATTAAACATACTTTTCCATAATGCAAATAGACAGTTGTTTGAATTATCTCTTATCATCAGAAAGACTTTATTAACTAAGAGAACAGCAATACATTTTGAGCTTATTTGCCCCTCATCAGTCCTATCTTTTACAGGTATTCTTTATGTAAAAGATAAGACAGATGAGGAGCAAATAAGCCTAAAATGCATTTCTGTTCTTTTAGTTAATAAAGTCTGATCAATCAGAGTTCCTGTGTGTTAAGTTCTCCAAACCAAGTTTATACTCATTTTCAACAATATGTACTTGTTTATTTCTTTCTTCTATGTTATACACCACCTTTCAAGATGGTGATAGCCCCTCTGCATCCTTATGGTTGATCCATCATCTCTTATTGGCTGCTTTAAATTAAATATCTCTAACATCTCAAGAGTTCTAATGTGTTTATTTCTATAGTTAATATGTATCATCTCTACATCATCTAAAATGTGCTTTGACCCCAGTTGAGTTGCAAACATGGCTATTATGGTGTTAATTTCTTTTTCTAAATAGAATACTTATGTTCCTTTCAATCTATATGACAATGACCTACAAGTTGATCCCATATATTCTATTGAATACATCCTCCCAAACTCTATGATCCATTGTAGGGATTTGGTACAATTTCAGGACTATGTGCATTTATAGGATCTTTATTATTTCATAAAATTTTGTACACTGAAGGTCTGTATAAGTAGCTTCAAGTTACATTGTTGTATCTCACAATTTCCAAGTTCCCACCATTAAGTTTTATATCATATTCTATGATAATGCAGTATGGCACCCCATTAACCTTGCTTATGTCTATTTTATATCTAATGGCAATATTCCAGTATATTCTGTATTAATTGTTTAATTATTTTTTCAAGGGAACCATGCTCTGCAGCTATTTGTTCTATTCTTTTGCATTCTTGGATCTTGTTTAAGTTATTCAAATTGAGTGAACATATTTCACTAATGCCCTAAATTCCAAATTCTGCTATTTTATAGTTATATGGATCATTACAGCTGGCAAGGATGAAAAAAGGGTTGATAGCCTTTATTCACATATATATTGGTATTAATTTTGTTCTTCTTATGCGTAATCCATAAGTTTAAGTAATATACAGATGTATTGTCTTCCTGCTCTAATTTTAGCACCAGCTTGTTGCTAATCTTTAACAAAAACTCAATTTTCCATATGATTAGTATATCATTGATTACCATTTATGTAAAATAATGTGTGAGAGAATGTTAAGAATGTTTTTCTAGGGACCATATTACTAAATCATAAAGGTAACCTGATAAAAGGCTGCAAATCAGTTTTCTTCCATAATTAATTCTTCAAGGAACCTTGGTGGAGATATATTGTCCTAACAGGTAAGAGGAATAACTCATTTGTTTGAAGGCTGGAAGATTTGATAACACAATATCCATCTCATAATCATACTGTACTTGTTATGTAAATCTTATACAATTGTTTGTAAGATTTGTTGTGTAAATAAGGTTGATATGTTTTAACAGAGAGGCAAATGTTTGCCATGCTCATTTTACTCACTTGGCCTGAGCATTGCTACTTATTCCCATATAGACTATTCACAACAAAAAATTTTGTGAAGACTCACCAATTCCCAGTGCTAGCATTTCTATTTTTATTTCCATTTTTCAAGTATATAGTGTATCTGTTAACTTCATTGGATTTTTGTTTATATATATGTGGGGCTAGTGGTTGAGCAAGACCAAGTTTTCAGTTATTGAAAGAACATAGTATAATCCAAAATATATTTTTATATATGCAATTATCTTTTTATTTCAAATTATGCAAAATTCAGCAGCTCTTTTAACAATAGTTAAAATATTAAGAATAAAATGGAAATATTCATTATCTTGATCATAAAATCAACTTTACATTTAAATGATTCAATAAAATATATATTAGTTTAAATAAAACAGTAAAGAAGCCAAATTGTAATATTTTAAAATGTTCTGAAAATACAAATTTTGTCATCAGAAAGTAATAACTCAAACAAACTAAATCAATAAAAATTTAAAGCTTGCTTCATATGATTATAAATTGTTCATAATCAAAGAATAAAAATAATTTATATATATAAACCTTAAAAATATTTATTAAATAAAACAATACAATGTTAGAACGTTAATGGAAAACTAAAAGAAAAATATTTAACAATTAGCAATGACTAAAAAATAGAAAAGGTATTTTGTATTGTAATGAAAATATTTAGATGTCACTTTAGTAAATATGAGTAACTCAAATAAAGTTTTCTTTTAAATCTCAATTTTTCTTGTAGGTAATATACAGCACATTTAATCTCAAATAATAATAATTTAATACTTATAAATTAATATTTATGCAATTGAGAAATTAAAGTAACAGATTTATTTCAATTTATTTATAATAATGAATATAAAAATTACTGACCAGTATATATTTGCACTATTTGCTCCTCTCCTTAGTTCATTCATCAAAAACCCATTGGATGTGTCAAACACTCGAATCAGCGTACCCTACAAAGTATTCATAATTTTATTTATTGATTTTTCTTTCTTTATTTTTAAGCTAAATATATATGTATAGAATCATAAATTAAGTAAAAAAATAAATTAATTTAAAAAAAGCAAAAAGTAAATATAAATATATATCAAATTTATTTTAGATTAATTTTCAAACTTAGCAAATCTACCAAATTTTGATAAAACTAATAAAATAGTTCAAAACAAAAATTCTAAATTTTTGTTATCATATACTACTATAAAGTTAAAACATCTATAATCATTATTCAGCACTAACTCCAAATCAACAGACTGTAAATGGATTCTTACTGTTTTTACCATCATTTGCTAAAATTTACTTAAATCTATATAATTGTACAGAACTGAATTTTAAAATTAACCATACTAAACACTAACCAACTTTGTTAATATTAATTATTCAGAGAAATAATAAGACTAATACATAGATAACATTAATTACTTTCTTAAATAAATTTTGACTATAATATCATTTCTTACATTTTAAATCTTTTGTTCTTTCACACATTATCAAATCTTAAATAAAAATTAAAGAAAAAAACAAAAATATAATGATACTTGATATACATATCAATGAAGTGAGAAATATTATTATTAAAGTTTTGTATTTTAAATAAAATTTTCAAATATAAATAAGTATAAATTATGATATCATTTATTGTTTTCAGATAAAGATATATGGCATTTATGGCAACTTTACACAGATATCAAAATTTGGAAAACTCATCTGGGAAAATGTAACAGCTGCATATCACAGTGGAAATTTAAAACTTGATTATCCAATATATCATGAAAAACTACTATTCCACCTCAAAGACAAACTATGTTGTTTTTTTCTTTACGGCAGTTATTGCTATTAATTTGATACATCTAAATATTCTAAAACAATATCTGTGACAACAATTAAAAAAATTATTCTATGTCAACTCCGTTTCCAGTTACATACTAAAAACCAAACCTTCTAAGTGTTACAATTATACAAGTGGAATATTGAATAAAATGCTTGATGACATTAACATAATAAAATGTAGCAAGAAATTTTGAATATTTACAATGTATAAAATTAATAAAATAATTAATATATAACTGATTTCAAAATTATAATAAGTATAAATTTAATCTAACATGAAATATTATCATATGGCAATAACTATTTTTGAATTAAACAGAAATTTATTTTTGAATAGAATATTCCATACCTTTTCTGAAGCTGTGGCTAATTTATTACCAGGTAAATCCAAAGCTATACAACTCAGAGGTGCTTCATGTACAGAAATGTCTAAAGGAGCTTTTTCTGTATTTGCAAGATCAACAATCTGTACATGACCAGTTTTCCGTCCCGGAAAAGCCAATAAAGAGTTATCACTACTAGGACACAACACACACAATCCTATACAAAAATATCTTTCAGTAAATATTAATTTTATTAACAGTATTATTTTAAATTATTAAAACAGATAAAATTGCATGTTTCAGTTAGTATTTAAAAATATCAATTCAAACGTAAGTTTATATCAAAAAGTAATTGTTAAATAGTTTTAAAGTTATTTGAAAAAGTTATTATAATTCAGAAAAATCATCTCCAAGATTAGATACTTTAATCATTTCACATTTTATATAAATTTGAAAAACCAAAAGTACATTTAAGAAATAAAGATAGTTATCTTTCTTTTAAGCATTTCTTTTTAAGTTTTTTTTTTTTTATTTCAGTTTAAGTAAGACGCAAATAATGTCAATGATCCAACTCAATCACCTGAAGATTCTCTACTGATAACCAAAATCAGATTCAGTTTATCCATAAAACTTATAAAGTAACATTTTCAATACTAAAAAATTATTAAATCAAATATCCTTTTTTTAATTTTTAATACTGTATTGAATCATAAAAAGAAGTTAAATGTTTTGAACATGAAAAAAAAACTCATGTTAATATTTCTTAAAAGTATTTTGTTTTGCTGTAAATATTTCCTATAACAACTGATATCAAAGCAAAAGTTTGTTTAAATGACTACAGATAAAATCATCACATAATTTACTGTATAAATATGAATGAATTTTTAAATAAATTAAGCAATCAAATATTGATGATTCATTCATTCACTAACCATTACAGTTATCTGTGGTTTTTGTTATTTTAATGATGATTACTGATTTCAAAACTTGCTGACAATTAAAAAATATTATAAATTAAAAAGTTTCTACTAAATATAAAAATATTTACTATTATTTATACAGTTGATGCAATTTCAAATTTGACAGTACTACAACAGGAACTGATCTAAATATATCTTCCTAAATATAAAATGAATTGTTTATTGTTTATTCAAGTATAAAAATTCAGTATTTTAAAATGTTTTGTCTTTTACTCTAAGATAATTGGTAAATTTTTATGCTTTCATTCTCTCTATTTTTAATGTTATTCAATACTGCATATTCAAGAAATTTTTTGCATTTATATATCAACATGCTTCAGAAAAATAACTATTACTAATTTTTTCCAACATTTTATAAAGCATATATTTGACAAATCCAACCTTATATTTTTAACATGTATACATTTCTGATAATTTTAAAAATACAAACAATGCATTTATGTAGCTTCTTGATAAAAAGCACTGAGTTCAGCGTTAATACGATTTTTCTTATATCGTAAGTACTTTCGACGAGTATTATATCGTCGTCCTCAGGCGAAAAAAGAACAAATTTGAAAATTAGAACGTGCAGAATGTTCCAAGTAGAGAACGGAAAAATTTTTCTTGTCAATTTCTAAATTATAGCGTTCGGTAATTCCGTTGGTCACGTGCAACAAGCTTTTTGCTGGCGTTCGAAATATCTTAAATCCACACGACTAGCAGCGCATGCGTTGAGGAGCGATCGTACTAATTGTGCGACTCTTGGTGCTTTTTGCTGTTTAAACGCTGGTATAAAGTAACCCATATTTCGGGCAAGTCGAGTGTGGGGACGTTGCATGTGTCTGTGGTCATTGTAAGGAGCGCTTCCCAAATAAATGTAATTATTCTGTTGTTACAGCTCCTGAGCAATGCTGTTTTTGACCATAACGGGTTATAGCCCTGTTGTAGAACTTTTCTGGCGAGCTCTGTAGTCTGTCTTCCTTTGTTTATATCATCCTGATGTTCTGCGATATGGCAAGAGAGCATTCTTGTCGTTGCCCCTATATACTTCTCAATTGTCCCCGTTACTGGATTTTCCAGTTGCACTGCGTATATTCCCGATTTTCTAAAACGTTGACTTTATCCTGATCATTGCATATACTCCTGTGTAAGTTGGGTAGGGGAGTTAAAGGAAGAGTAAAGCTGTATCGCCGGAAAATACGAAAAATGACGGAAAATACGCCAGCAAAAAGCTTGTTGCACGTGACCAATGGAATTACCGAACGCTATAATTTAGAAATTGACAAGAAAAATTTTTCCGTTTTCTACTTGGAACACTCTGCACGTTCTAATTTTCAAATTTGTTCTTTTTTCGCCTGAGGACGATGATATAATACTCGTCGAAAGTACTTGCGATATAAGAAAAATCGTATTAACGCTGAACTCAGTGCTTTTTATCAAGAAGCTATACAATTTTGGCGTGAGTTTTATTTATTTATCTATTTCTATGCATTTATGTAACTTTGTGAGATCCTGGAAGTTAGGGAATGGTTTAATTTAATAAGAAATGAATATTTTTAACAAAAATTTAAAGTAATATTTTAATTAATATTTGGGAACATTTGGTAAAATAAAAAGAAAGATAACAATTTATCAATTTAAGCATCGCACCTCTGATCTCAACTTCCTCTGATTCAGCGGATGCTTAGTTCCTGGTAAATGGAAATTTACCAAGAATATGACCGCATCGGGAGCAAATCTGATTGGCAGTCCGATTGTCTATATAAATGGGAAGAAGTCTCCTTCACTCAAGGCTGCTGTTTTACCCAATAACTGAAGTAAGCCATGCTGTGGTCCCAGTCCAAGGTTCCTAGCCGCCAGCGATAGCCCGTCTCATTAGACTATATGCAACATCATAAGAAGAGAAGAAAAAGGTATTGCCAGGTAGTATATTTCTTATGTAAGCTTTCTCAGTCAACAATTGAGCAAGTGTTAGCCATTAGTTACTCTCAATATAGTCAAGTTATATCTTAGTTTAGCATACCCTGTTATATATAAATCTGTCATGCTATGTATATATCTTATATGCTTAAAATTATATATAAATAAATAGTTTAGTTTATAAAAGGGATTTGTTTGAGCCTCCATCAAGTGAATCAACACACCTCTCTGCCACTTGACAATATAAATACGACTCTCCATACTTAATATTTCCTGATTCATCTACTTGGAGTTGGATTAAAGATTAATCCATTGCACAGCTCACAAATTAAGATGCTAATCTTATCTTAATTGGTGTCAGGAATCCTGATAAGATTCCTGATACCAAGATATTCTTATAGCATAACATTAAAGTCATCCTAGACAGTGGGTGGAGTCTCACCGACCCTGATCTCACAATTTATTGCTCTACCATATGTAATGATACATTATGTATAAAGAATATAATAAAATAATATAATTCATTATATAACATTATACTATTCACTTATGAACAAAAAAACTAAATCACACAAAATATAAATATATATGTTAAAATAAAGCTTAAAATAAATAATAAATTCCTACCTTTTGAATTTGTGCATGTTTCAAATATATGAAGTTGCTGTGGATTCTGAGTAAAAGTATAAACTTTTATCATTGTCTCCAGTACAACAACAATTCTGAAAATATTTATACAAATTTTAACAATAAAAAGCAAAGTTATTAAAATGCATTATTAAAAATTAAAATTTACCTGTCTCTTCTTAATTTAACAGCTTTTACATCACTTGAAAATTCTAATTCAATAACATGTTTTTTCTTCAAATCATCCCATACCATTACTGAAATTTAATAAAACAAAAACTTTTTGTAATTTTCATTGATTTGCCACACATGATCAAATATCAATCACTAATAATAATTTAAAAAATCTCATTGGCATGAAATCATTGATAAATATGTCAAGAGGACTAATTTGACAGATAGTCCCCTTGACAATGTCCAATTTAAATAAAAGTTGGTATGGGTGTTCCATTACCTCTAAAATTGCTATCTGCAAAGTTATAAGTCCTAGGAACAAATAAAAAAAATTAGCTCCTAGGAAGTCTTAAGTGACAGTCATAAACATAATATTGTGTCATAAGCATAATAAGAAACAAACTTCAAAGTTTCACAATTATCTTGACTAATGAATTAAGATTCATGAAGTCAAAACAATTTTATCTTAATTAAAAAAACTAGTAAAAGAACTACTAACAAGTTGCTAATACTTTGTGGAATAAAACCAATGTTTCTGGCTTGGTGTTAAGTAAATAATGACATCACACAGTCATAGGACTGATTGCAGAGACACATATACATACATACAAGAAAGACTTTGGCTGTACATGAGGTGTTTAGCCAGCAGAAAAGAGGAAAAGGGAAAGGGGAGGGAGAGGAGATAGATAATAGAGAAAGGTAGGATTCCTCTGAACAGAGTACGTATGGCTACAATACCCTCTACATTTGATGTTGGCGTGCAGTTTTTTAGGCTGCAAGGCTGTAGTCCCCTGAAGGGTCTAAAAGAAAATCTGAGTGTAGCAAACACAAAATTGTAGAGACAGCATTTAGACACTGATGACAGTTTAGAGATCGTCTAAACCACAGTTCAGAAAAATTTCATTGCAGAGATGACATTTCTTGCTTGCCACCGTTTAGTGTTTAGAAACCTGTAATTTGACCTACTTTCTAGATTAATTCAACAGCAGGTTTAAACAGTGTTTTAATTAAAGTGGAAGTCATCACATTGTAAAGTTTACATAAAAATGGATATCATTTCTTTAGTAAATGTTATAAATAGGAGGAATCAACAAACTTATTCATTAATTAATTGCTTGGATCAAAAATAATATAATTAAATACTTAAAATTTTTTAAGTGTTCCAATTCTGATATTCAAACAGGTAAAGATTTAAGACTACAATTAAACCAAATGCATTTATTTATAATTCAAGTATCATGTTGGTTATAAAACATTAATGCATTTCGGGGTCATTACTGTTATAATATCCTGGTCAGAATGTTCTGTTAATCAAACAAGACAATTTTAATAATTACCAAAAACATTTTACAGAAATAAAAAATATAATATTATTTAAAATTATTCATCATGACAACTATGAAGGGAGAAAACACAAAATTGGAATAATTCCTTAAAAATGTATTCCGAAGACAAATACTGTTAGATTTGGTCATATTTTAAATCATATTGCCGATGAAATTAAACATTGAAATGGAAAAGGATTGTCATTAACTGCCAAACAACAGTTGTTAACGGCCTCAAGATTTTATGCTGCCGTAAGATTTTGGAAGGTAGCTGGTGCCTTATTGGAGTTTTTTCTGACATTACGAATGAATAATCCAATTGGCTGAATGACTCCTAAAAGAGGGGAGTAACAGTGAAGAAAATAACAGCCAACGTTTTGTCAAGGTTCATATAGATGGTGTTCAGGAATAGACAATTGTTGTGTTTGCAATGCATTTTAAACTGCAGTTCAGTCAGCCAATGTCTAGATGCTGTTTGGCTGTTAAACATCATTTAACGTAAACCTTGTCTCTGCAATCAGCTGATAAATAACACACACTCCTTATATGCAAAAAACAAAAGAACATCACAAATAATAAAAAAAATACTCTTTTTGCAACATAAATAAATTTAAACTGTCAAGTTCATGTTCCAAGACCTAATAAAAATTACAAAATTTTTTGCAAAAAGTTATAATTTAGAGCCATTTTTTAAAACTTATACAAAAAGACATCAAAATGAAAATCACATGTTCTAGAATAGAAAAATTCTCTCTTTCTGATAAAAGTAAAAGGAGAAGAATTGGCACTGATAAATCTGAGATACAGCTACTCAAAAATAGGCAAAACTTTGCAAAAAAATTTTAATGGCCTATTTGAGTAGTGATATCTTTGCAACAACTTGAAATTGTACCTTTCAACTTGGAGGACATCTTATCATATAACTATTCATTTATTTCCCAAAGGACAGCCTCTAAACTTATTTTGTTTATAAATTGTAATGACCTAAACATGGGACTTGAAATTTTACATATTGAGTTTGTCAAATTTAATTCATTGTTATAAGCAAAGTACTAAAGCCAGGCTGTTGAAATTTTGTTAGATAGTTGAAGACCAAAAGTTGTATTGTAGTACCAGATCTTATTATTTTGTTTTTGTAGCTTGCAAAACTTCGGCATTTGGGCATTGGGCAAAATTTTCTTGCGGAAACATCATTTCCACAAGAAAATTTACACCAATCTTCACATATTTAATTAATAATTTTACTAAAACATTTAAAATAAAAACAAATTTTTTATGAATTACTTTTGTCAAGTATTTTAACAGTTTCATATTAACATGTTAATTGTTTGATCATTCAGAAGAAACATCAATATCTTTGTATTTGAAAAATGTCATCAGTAATATATATATAATTATCATTCTGATTTAGTTTGAGCTAGTGTCCAACATATTAAATTGAGTGTCCGATGAGAAATAAATTTGGATAGCAAAAGTCTTCACAAAATACTATAAACATGTAAAACCTAATTGATTCATTAAATTTTTTTATCATGTTAAACAGAAACTGAAATAAGTAAGTATAGCTTTTAATCAGTAATTTATACCTTTGTTTGGGGGATATCTAGGTCGTTTACCGCCACCAACTAAAGCTAAATAATTACATCTGAACAGCATTTCAACATAACCAATACCACCATCAGCAAAATCTAAAAAATATAAAATAATTACATTTGTAAATATTAATATTTTTAGTTTAAGATATTTCTTACTGAATAAAAAAAAATATCAATAAATGAATACTTATTTTCATACAATGTAATCATGCCTAAAAAAGCATATACTGCCAGATTATGTTTAAATGAATGATTTAAACATAATAAATGAATGAATAAATGATTTATTAACATTTATAATATATTTGTATAAAACTTTTTTGTTGTTTACAATATGACTCCAAAACATTTTAAATTTAGTCACTGTCTTGTATTTTAAATGAAATATCTATTCTATAAATATGCTTTTTTTTTTTAATTAATAATAAAGTGATTACAAAGCTGAAGTTTTCATAATAATTTTATAAGTTCTTTCAAGTCATAATAAAAGTTCACAATCAAATGTCCTTAGAATTTAATTCAAAAAGAGTACATTATTTCTGTATTATATATAAATACTATATGAATACATTTTGCATATTAATATGTTCTATTTTTAGTAAAAAAAATTCATAAAAATAACAAAAGTCTTTAATATTTTTTTTTGTAACTTTAATTTTATTTAACTACTTAATTTTTTTTGGTGAATTTTTATCTATTATTATTTGTCTTTTTAATGACGTTTTTCTTCAAGCCAATTTAACTGTTACTTCTGTGATCGTGTTAATGGATAAAAAAAAGACTCAAAAATATTGTATATTTTTGTAAATGGTCTTAATGTCAATACTTAATTTTTGTACTGATAGTTTTTCTTTTTTTCAAATTACTTGCCAGTCTTGGATTACTCAGAATGCTATAAATTTTTGGCTGACATGTAATTGTGCATATTGTGTATGAACAATTAAAAAAAATGACATTTTTAAATACTTTCTGTACATACAATTCTTAACAAAAAATTAAAAGATTAAAAATTTACAACCTTGTTTTTCTTTTTCTTTTAGTGGATCACAGTTATACACACGAAATCCATTTTCCATTCCACATGCAAAACACCCTGAAAATAAATTTTTAAATTAAAAATTGTATAATTTTATTTTCAATTAATTATACTAGTTTTAATTTTTAAACTATTTCTTGTACAACATTTATGCATAACAGATAGGTGAACAATCTAATAATGAGATTATGGTATATTTTATATGCTTTCAAAGATAGAGTTGATGGATTGTCAACAGTTTACATCAATATAATTTTGGAATATCTGTAAGGTAATTTAAACACTAGATCACAACCCACATTAATTGATGACCGGATAGCTGAGCAGTCAAGGTGGCAGCTTACTGCTCTGGGGACCTGGGATTGAACCCGGAAGGGTCAAATAATCCTCAGGAATTTTTCTGGATCATCCATCTAGATATATAGGGCCCTGACCATCACCACCTGACCACCCCATTGTGGGCCTGGCTGAACCCATAATGGGCTTGCTAAAAGAGGCCCTCTTAGTGCCCACAGGGCAGGAAGAGTTAAAAAAGGGGGAAAAACATTAATTGTACTAGTTAAATCTTTCAGAAATGTAGACTAAAAAACTAAACAATTAGTTTATCAAACAAAAAACATGTTTTTTTTTGATAGACAGTATCATACAAAAATTAATACAGCTTGTAAACCAAAATATGTTTTAAGCACTGCTTTTAAATGAGGTTTAGTTTCTATTATAATAAAAAGTAAATTATATTAATATTTACATAATTTTTTATTGTCATGTATGTATTATAAACAAAGATATTTAATGTTAAATGCATAGAGATGTACCATACTACTGTATAGCCAATAAGGCTCAACAGTTGAAAATAATTTTCAGAATACACTATTTGGATTTTATCATCAAATTCATAATATTAAGAAAATAAATAATTTTTTACAAAGATCAAATACCATACATATCATATGGTAATCACAAATTGTAATCTGTCATATCATTATATGACTGATATTATAATCTGTTCATAGATTTATTTCTGTTCTATTATAGAATGTTTTGATTTTCTATATAAATGTAAATATCTAGACTAGTTTTTATACATTTTTTCCCACAACAATATTTAAGTAAAAGTTTCAGGTTCAATACATCACAAATATTTACAAGCAAAGATTATAATTAATAGATTATATATAAAAACATTCATAACATTTTATTTTTGTAATTTTCATATACATTCCATATCAGAACATTAAAATATAACTGAATGAGTTGTTTTCAAATTCACAGAAAAACATAACAATAATAATAATAATAATAAAACAAGACAGCTATAATATATTTTACAAATCTGTAATGAATTGCATCAAAGTTCCCAAGTTTTTAAATCTTTATTGTTTTTATAGATAAAATTATATACTTGTTGCTAAAATTAACTAAAAATTTAATTATTACATTCCTAATAATAATCCCCAAACATCAGCCAAAATAATTATATATGCAGTAGAGAGTCGATTATCTGAATCAATTGGGGACTGGGGTTGTTCAGAAGATCGATGTTTCAGATAACTGATTATGTACGAAAAAATATATTAATTTATCCCATCTTGTTATTTTTCTCCATTGTGTGTCGCTTCACGTTGAATTTTCGTCAATGTTAAGTCTAACGAAGACTATTGTATCGTTAAAAATTATTTTTTTATTTTGTACGAACAAAATAAATATATTGAAAAATATAAAAACAATAAAAAAATTATACTTCAGAAGTTAATTTAGTATCAAAAATTTAAAATATTTGAGTAGCCCAAGACATAGCCAAAAATTGCAGTGCCACAGCACTGGCAAAAATTTAAATTTGCCGACTGGAATTCTTTTGGATGATTGACATTTCGGATGATTGACTTTCGGATAATCGACGCCCTACTGTATAATCATTCATTATAACCATTGTATTTACTAATCATCGTTTGAAGTATCACATATATATTGGTATTTTTTAAAAATTTCAAAATCAAGTATATAAATTTGAGTTGTAAATAAATATGATGATTCATTTCAAAACATTTTTTAATAACTCCTTTTGAATTTGTATCATTCATAATATGCCAATAAAAAATTTTCAATTTTACAAGTCATACTACACTTATTAAAAATACAAAAGTTAAAATTATTCATTTGGAATAGTAAATAAATATACACTCATATTATATATAAAGCAAAATTACAAATACACATTAATCATGAAATATCTTTCAACTCATACTGTTAACAATTACACTTAAATAAACAGAATATTTCAAAAAACTAAAATCAAAATTCTAATTTTACCAAATTCTAAACAATGATTAAACACACTGGGATGTTCAATAAATAAATTTTCCAGGTCTGATGTATTGAGAGAAACTTATTTACTTACAAATGCAAATGTTATATGAAATATTAGCCTGCTCCTTCTTTTATAGATATTGCTTATTGTTATAACTAACAATAAGCAATATCTATATATAACTAACAATAAGCAAGATTTAAACTCTGACTTTGTGCACATGTACTGCAACATCACAAACAGAAAACATTGACAGTGTAACAGGATCATCTCATTACTAGAGTAGATAGCACAGAGATTGGGACAAATAATGAAAACTAAATGTAACATAACACCGTTGAATTGAAGGTGAATCTTTAGAATGAAAACATCTGAGATCTTCAAGGACAAAGAAGTTCAAGATGACTCAAGTCCATAAAAAAAGTCATGGTAACCTTTTTCTAGGATAATATAGGCATTTTTATTGTTGATTTTCTGGTAGATAAATCAATAATATCTGTTCTTGTGACTGACCTTGGACTGACTCAGATCTCCACACAAACTTCTTTGATTCCTCACTGCAGGTGTCATTCTTTCAACAATAATGTCCATTTTCACAGTGTCCAACAAATGCCAAATTTCATATCTATGTTGTGAATACTGACTATCCACTATACAGTTCCAATATGGTTTCCTGGTAACTTTTACCTCTTTCCCACATTGAATGAGAACTTTGGAAGATCACTAATTTTCACAGCAATGAAATTGCTAAAGAAGCAGCATGACATTTCTTTGTATAGTGAGATTCTTATTCTATACAGAAAATTTAATGATTGATGGTTTGATGAATGATGAATAATTTGATAAATTGGTAAGGAGGTGGGACAAATGTATGAACATTGAAAGTAAGTGAAGTAGGTTAAAACATGGGTTATATTCACTGAAAAAATGTCACAAGTAAATAAATTTTTAGTTACATAAATATGAACACTAAAACATTTGAATTAATATTTAATACAGATAAATGTATTCATATTTGTGTAAGTGCTATTTTTATAATTAATAAATTTTTAATTTATCAGGCCCACAAAACTAACCTAATATCCCTTGTTTAAAATGTTTTTGAAATTTGACATTCAAATATTAAAGTCATTAAACTAAAGTATTTAAATTTGATAGATCTGATGCTGACTTCTAAAAGCAAGCATTTTATTTTATATCTAGGTTAAATAAAAATGGAGCCAATAAAGTCTGTAATTCTAAGTTTGCTTTAAGAAGATAAATTATCAACAGAATTGTACGATAAAATATCTAAGTACAGGTAACCCCCGTATAACACGGTAGTTACGTTCCAAAAAATTGCTGTGTTATGAGAATCCATGTTATACGAAACAAAGAACTAATACGAAAAGGAGGGTTAGGTTCCAAAAATTAAAAAACATGCTAGTATATTTTTATAATTAAGATAAATATCTTCATTAAAATTTTTTAAGTGATACATATTAATATAAATTAAACAATGTTTTCTTCATCATCACTAAAAACACTATTAATTAGCCGAGAGCGTTTTCTTTTTGGCAAGTTATCCTTATCCTCTGAGCATTTTTCTGCATTATCTTCAGATCCATGCTTTACCTTTTGCAAAATGTATGTAATTTTAGATTGCTTGCTTCTAGTTAAAAGGTCTTTATAAATTTCCTTATATGGTGCTAAGCACTTATGAAGAATAAAGCAAGTATGGAATAAGGGAAAAACATTCGGCAACATCAGAAGCAGAAGCGTCGCGATCTGGCAACATTGAAACAAGTTTCGAGAAGGACCACGTGTATCGACAGAAGGCGAGAAAAGAAAATTTACATACTTAAGTACTAATAGTTCACGAAAATAATAATTTTCGTGAACTATTATTACTTAAGTATGTAAAAATTTATTACATTTCCTGTTATACAAGGGTTTTACCCAATTCTCGAACCGTGCCAGAGTAAATCCATGCTATAAAAGTACCGTGTTATACGGAGGATGGTACCAATTCTCGAACCGTGTTAGAGTGAATCCGTGCTATAGAAGTGCCGTGTTATACGGGGGTTACCTGTATAACCATTTTAAAATGTCAAGTTTATTCAGTCATGATTTTAAAGTAAAGATAAATTAATAACCATTAAAATTAATTATATATATGACAGTTATTAAATTGGTTTTCCTCTGTTAGCAAGGCAGTCAAAAAGTTCCTGAAATTGCTTTCCTGACAGCAAAGCTGAGATAAGATTGCACATGCTTTATTGTGGAAGAGAGATTACACAGCTACAATCGGTCCTGACATATTTCAGTGCATAATGGTGTTACTGTTCTGTTTCATCATTTAGAACATGAGTATTTGTCTTTCAGCAGTATGTGGCAATTCAAACAATGTGTGAACATCAAGTTCATATATATATATATATATATATAAAACATAGGTTTATCCACATATTTTGTATCAACTGGATAGATTATAATCAAAAAATTTATTTATTAAATTTCATTGCTGGATTTTTTAAAGGTGTGTATTTTTGATAAAACATGGGTTATTGAACTTAACTCAAAAATTAGTTTATGGATATATATGTTATTTCACTTAACTACTTATTGCCAGTTTTTTTTTAAATCAGACATAGTACTAGGAAGACATTTATCATTAGTTTTCATTTTATTGCTTAAAAATATTGTACTTTGGGAGCAGTTACAATTAATTCAATACAACTAATAATTATTACGTACCTCCGAAACCTTT